TGCGGAGTCAAAATAACTGTCTCCAAAACCACACTGCTAGATCAACAGAGAAAATCAGCAACAACCTCACTCTCCAACTAACACTTTGGTCACACTTCACATACATGCACATGCAGATATTATATCTATAATATATAACAATACCTCTAGGTATTCTCCTTTTTCTACCATGCACTAGTTCATTCTCTATCTTCTTCAATGTCCATGGGGAAGTGGAAAAAGAATCTTTACCTCCGAAAGCCATGCGTGTCGTATGAGGCGAACCTAAAAAGCCCGGGAGCAATGGCTAGTAACCCTTCTTCTGAAGACATTTACTAAAAAAAAAAGAGAAGAAAGAAAATAACTTTATAAAACTGGGTATGCATGAATGGGCGAGATGTAGTGCGGATGAGACAAGAAACAGATGATTGCTGATGTTATGAATGAAAAGAAGTTTGGATTCCTGGGCCCTAAGCGAAACAAAGCTGAAGGGGGTAGGGAGTTTTCGGTGGGGGGAAATAATGGGATAAAATCTGGAGTATCTGAAGAAAGATAGAGCAAAGGAAGGGGTAGCAGTAATGTGTGAATGATCAGTTTATGGAAGGAGAAAAGAGAATATGAATGTGTAAATGCAAGAAATGCGGATTATAGTAAAGGTTGATGCGAGAAGTGGGTCCATAAATAAGCGTGTATGCACCGGAGAAGAGAGGAAATGCAGAGGAGAGAGAGAGATTTTGGGAGATTTAAGTGAATTTATAGAGCCTTTGAACCAAGTAGAGAGTATTGTGGAAGGGGACACTGATGCTAAAGTAGGAGAAACTTTTAGAGGGTTGGTAAGGTAAGTTTGGGGTGCCAGGTGTAAATGAATAAGGAGCCCTTTGATTGAACTTTGTATAGAAAGGGGTTTAGAGTTTATAGGAATATCAAATTTTAAGGAAAAAGAGGATAAATAAGTATACAAGATATGATGTAAGGGCGAAAATGACAGTATTGTTTGATTATTGATTGGTAGATAAACAGACTGATGATAGACAGGATGTACATGTCTCTCTCTTGAGACAGGGCCACAGATATATCAGATCACGTTTAAGATTTGTTCGGATTTTTTAACCCCCGGAGGGTTAGCACCCAGGATAACCCAAGAAAGTCAGTGCGTCATCGAGGACCGTCTAACTTATTTCCATTGGGGTCCTTAATCTTGTCCCCCAGAATGCGAAACCCACACCATCCGACTAACACCCAGGTACTATTTGCTGCTAGGTGAGGCAGGACAACAGGTAAGGAAACGTGTCGAAATGTTTCCACCCGCCGGAATCGAACCCCGGGCCCTCCGTGTGTGAAGCGGGAGCTTTACCACCAGGGCCAACCGGGCCAACACTGAAGTAAAAGGTAGATGGGATACAAGGAGAATAGAAGCATCAGGGGAAGAAGGTAAGGTTTATAAACAAAACAAGAGGAAGGCAGTTAGGAAAGATATAAACAGCTATTGGAGGATAGATGGGCTAATGTGAGAGCATAGGCAATGGAGTCGAAGAGTATGGGGTAGGTTTAAAAAAATGGTGAGTGTGACTTAGGAGCTGGGAACAAAGAAACTTTGTCCTTGGACAAGGAGGGGAATGTTGAGAGTATAGTTTTACCAACACTCTTATATGGGGTGAAGCTGGGTGTGAATTTGCAGCGGGGAGAAGGCGGAGGCAGTGGAGATGTCATGTCTGAGGGCAATGTGTGGGTGAATAAAATGCAAGAATTTCGTAGTTTGGAGGTTAGGGGGGGTGTGGGGATTACCAAAACTGTTGTCCAGAGGGCTGAGGAAGGGTTGTTGGGGTGTTCGGACATGTAGAGAGAGGGAGCGAAAAGAATGACTTCAAGAGGTATCATCTGTAGTGGAAGGAAGGCGGGGTGGGGGTCGGCCTAGGAAAGTTTTGGGGGGGGGGTAAAGGAGGTTTTGTGTCGAGGGGTTTGGTCTTTCAGCAGGCGTGGGAGCGTTTTGATGGGAGTGAATGGGGACGAAGGTTTTTTTAATACTTGACGTGCTTTGGGAGTGTGAGCAAAGTAACATTTATAAAGGGGGTTTCAGGGAAACCGGCGGGCCCGGACTTGAGTCCGGAGAGGGGAAGTACAGTGCCGCCTCTAAAGGGGACGGGTTTAATGTTGCAGTTTTAAAAACTGTAGGAAAGCACCCTTCTGGCAAGACAGTGATGAGGAAAGAAAGTGAAAGTTTTTCTTTTTCGGGCCACCCGCCTTTGGGGGGAATCGGCCATGTGATAATAAATAAAAAAATATATATATATTCTCTATGATAATATCCTCATTAACCCCCTTCCCACATCACACGGAAGCAATTCAATAAGGGAGTTTTAAATTTTCAAATATTTAAATTTACCTTCTGGAATGAAAAAAAAATTTAAGTGCAATAGCCGAACCCCGAAAGGGGACGACGTCTATTGAAGATAGACCTCTTCGAAGATAGACATCTATCGATAGATCTATTCGCTTCGTTTATGTAACCCATCCTGTGTGTTCCATGGCAGGGAAATATGGGTAGATTTTTTTCCTACTTTGTTATTTTTAGTGTACGGAATAGTCGCTGTTACACCGGTGGAGAAGTTGTCACTCCTGACCTGTCCCCTCACTCCTGACCTGTCCCCTCACTCCTGACCTATCCCCTCACTCCTGACCTGTCCCCTCACTCCTGACCTGTCCCCTCACTCCTGACCTGTCCCCTCACTCCTGACCTGTCCCCTCACTCCTAGCTCCAGGTTTACTAATGAGGTTGTACCTGGCTGCGCTACTTGAGGTGAGAAAGCAGTGGTGGCAGCAAAAACAAGTCACCTCCGCGGGACACAGCTTAACAACCTTCATTACACATTTTTATTGGCGTTTAGCCCAAATGGAGAGGTCGTAGCCCTTGTAGTTTCCACGCAGGTTATTCCACGTTGTTCTGTTTGACACGGCGATAAAAGTTAATCTTCTGGCCGTTCCGTGTGCCTTGGCGATACTGGACGGTGTGGTGATAGCTGCTGCTCCTCCTCCTCCTCCTCCGTCACTACACTGTGCTCTTGGCGTCACAAAACGATCGTGGCGTTAGAAAAATACTGCAATATCGTTTAGCAACAAACAGAACAGTGCACGAACTCGCGCAGCATCTGTGTACCTCTGAGTTTGACAAAGAGGATGTTGATCTCCAGCTCTTGGAACCACTTCTTACCTTGTGACTGTCGGAAAAATTAAGCATCTTGCGATCCTTTATTGACAACGTTTCGTCCACACAGTGGGCTTTATCAGGTCACATACAGATCTACGTGGGTAAAGAGTACAAGAATATATATAATGTGGAGAGTCAGGTCGAGAATGTTGGGTAGGTTGTATTGGAGACTAACCTGCAGGCCCTGTGAACTCACCTAGTTGTGGATGCAGGGGTCGCGTCACAGCTCCTGGCCCCGCCTCTTCATTGGTCGCTACTGGGCCACTCTTCCTGCTCCATGAGATTTATCATACTTCTTAAGGATATGTATGGATCCTGCCTCCACTACATCACTTCCCAGACTATTCCACTTCCTGACAATTCTGTGACTGAAGAACTACTTCCTAATATCCTTGTGATTCATCTGAGTCTTCAACTTCCCCTTGTTGCTGTGTTCCATCTCTGGAACCTCCTGTCTGTCCACACTGTCAATTCCTCTCAGTATTTTATATGTCGTTATCATATCCCCCCTATCTCCTCCATCCTCCAGTGTCATCAGGTCGATTTCCCTTAACCTCTCCTCGTAGGACATGCCCCTTGTGTGTATGTGTGTGTGTATACTCACCTAGTTGTGGATGCAGGGGTCGATTCACAGCTCCTGGCCCCGCCAAAGTGTGTGTGTGTGTGTGTGTGTGTGTGTGTGTGCGCGCGCGTGTGCGCGCGCATTTATCTTTCGAGTGCGTGTGAACGACTCCACAAAGTCTTCTCTCCATCACAGGACTATGTAAAACACACCGCCTAATCCCTCACAGCTGCAGAAACAACGTCATTTACACAGGCAAAACGACCGCAATTAACTACCGCTCGTCGATGTTTACAGTGGCTCTAAAAATGACCAACGGGAGCTCTAAAAAAACGAGCAACAAGCCGGTATCCTTGCTGCAGGCCTCACGTCGCATGACCTGAGAGTGGAACGGGAGGACCAGAGAACGTCAAGAGGTGCCCGAGTTTCCGTGTCTCCTAATATCACGTTTATTTTTACCCTATAATCTACCTAGTTCCTAATTACTATCGCATTTGCTTTGTCTGCTTTCGTAAGGTGAAGTCCAGGATCTTCCCTTAATTCATGGTATAACTTAAACCTTTGAGGACAACTGGCGTTTGTAGAAGTCTGAGCAAAGTTCAGACCTCTACAGACCTCAACACAATTATCCTGAAAGATTTGTTAAGTTATACCATGATTTAAGGAAAGATCCCGGACTTCACCTTACGAAAGCAAAGCAAATGCGATAGTAATTAGGGACAAGGTAGATTATAGGGGAAAAATAATATATTATTATTAGACAGGGGAAATGACGTGCCCCTCAAGACGCATTTACCTATACCATGCTACTGATAAGCTCTTAATCCAAGGAACAGGAGCTACCCTTCTCCGCCTCTGATCAAACCTGATTATCTCCAATTCTCCTGCTGCTATAGGAACCTTAATGGTTTGGCGTTTACTCAAAATAATAATGGGGAAAAGTGGGTTAGAATCCTTCAGCCGTAAGCCCCTTCTCCTGTATACATTACTAAATGTAAAAAGGAAAATGAAAGTTTTTCTTTTCAGGTCACCCTGCCTCGGTGGGAGACGGCCGGTGCGTTAAAAATAATAAATATAATAACAAAATAATTAATATATTAAAGCAAAAATAATAATGAGGCTGCTGCTATCACCAAGCCACTTAGCCAAGCCATCACCAAGCCACTCAGCAAAGCCACTTAGCCAAGCCATCACCGAGCCAAGAGAGTGCTGCAGGAGGTAATGTAGAACGCGATTGTTTGGAGGGTTACTTACTCGCACTGGCCTGGCACCTTGCAGGTGCCGTGCTCCGGGTGGCATCCTTGCTTGCAGATAGCTGTAGGAAGAGAAGTCAGCTGTTACTGAGGATTTGTAAACACAAACATTCATCTATGAACCACATCACAGGCATAGTTATGGGGTATAGGTGTGATATATAATGATGATATGAGAACAATGTCAACAGTGAGAGGATGAGCACCAAAGAAAGTGGATAGGTGATTGAGGCCTTCAGTGTTATATGTTAGACCGATTCTTTTTATACAATATAGGATAAATTAGCAGTGTTCAGCTAAACTATTCTATACGATAGTTACACAGGACATTCAGTGTGTGTTGCTACCCAATTCCATACGATAGTTGTGTAGAACACCCTGAGTGTGCTGCTACCTAATTCCATACAACATTTAGGCCAGAGCTATGTTTCCCTGTCGTGTTCCACCACGCAGGATAGTTTTTTTTTTTAAATCAAGTGATGGAATATGTCAGTCTAAGCTGAGGGATATCAGTGTATAAATGCGGGTACCGTGAAGCATTCCAGCAAAGGGTTTAACAGCCACAAGAGCAGTGGGTGGGTGAAGAGATAGAGTGGACAAGCCGGTGGGTGGGTGGGTGAAAGGGATAGGGTGGGCAAGCAAGCCGGTGGGTGGGGTGAGAGTACAGGTTAGGGCGGCTGGCCACATTGTAAAGAGCATTGATAGACCCATACATCAGAGAATATAATTGGCAGATATACAACCGGGGTTTAATGAGCAAGAATATTAATTAGACGTTAGTACATCACCCTGAATCATGGCCCTTCACCTGAGAGGGCCCAGATAGGGCCGTCAGGGGATGTTTGAGGGTAAATGTGTGTGTGTGTGTGGTGTGTGTGTGTGTGTGTGTGTGTGTGTGTGTGTGTGTGTGGTGTGTTTTCCCTTTGTGATTGCAGGGTCGAGTCTTAGCGCCTGGTTGTGTGTTGTGTGTGTGTGTGTGTTGTGTGTGTGTGTGTGTGTGTGTATGACGCATGGAAGGAGATGTTACAATGATGTGTATAATGACGTAGTTGTAGGTACAGTAGCAGAGCTGTGCTCCTGGTGTCCCGTCATCGATCTCTGGTCATAATTTTTTTTTTAATTTCCAGCGCTTGCAGCACTTGCCGTATTTTCGGCATATAAGGCGCACGACAGAAGTACCATAACGGTAAATCAGTAATCATGTATGTATGTGTGTGTGTGTGTGTGTGTGTGTGTGTAGAACCTGACAGTCTAACCGCTCTTCAGCACACTTCGCTAAACGAATGAGGGTTTAGAAAAAACAATCGCATGATACTGGATATTAGAGAGTGTGGAACGTCCCAAAATGGACGTCTCTCATCCAGTCATCTCCAAACTGGGAGACTAGCCGCTTGTAAGTGTCAACTTCAACTTCGTCTTGCAGTACTCTGCAGGAAACAATTTCAATTAACCCGACGTCTCGGGCCAGAGGCTTAAAATTACAGACGGATTATTAACCCTGACTGTTCTGCCCAGAGCGGTTCACTAAATGTCTGGAAGTTATTTTCGCATACATTTAGGCTGGCTAGGATTTATGTGTTCATTAGCATAGTTATAAGCGGCAGAAAGTTGGGAGGGATGTGAGTGGGACAGCGGGAAGGGGGGGGGGTAGAAGAGGCACTGGTCTATGTACAAGACTTGCAATAAGACATCAGACAACTTCCAAAAGTCAGGATTAATTTTTATCAAAATTTCCCTGGGAAATTTCTTCCCTGCCTCCTTTTTTTCCCTGCCTGTGTTTACCTGTGACACAACGACCTGACATATTTTATGTCGCTCGGAGAATGTAACTCTCTCACTAAGGGCTGATGGCCCATTCGTATACTAATGGGGAACGAGTAGTTGTTGGAGTGGAGAGAATTAATGGAGAATTTAGGAGTGCGAATACGCCCAGCACCCCACTCACCTCTACCCCCACTCACTCGTACCCCCCACCCACAACTGCCCCCACTCACCACTACCCCCACTCACCCGTACCTCCACTCACCCGTACCTCCACTCATCCCTACCCCCACTCACCCCTTCCCCACCCACCCCAACGCCCACTCACAAGCACTTAAGCACTACCGAATAATCTCAAGAATTAGCAGAGCATAGATTCACCCTCCCTCTCTTCCTTCTCCCCTCCCTCCCTCCCTCCCTCTGCCTGCCCTCTGCGTTATGGTTCACCTCCTCCGTGTGTATATAAAGATGTTTTATTTGTGTCGTCAGGGCCAGGAAGAGGAGGAGGAGGAAGAGGGCGGGAAGGGCAGAGGGAAGAAGGAAGAGGAAGATTAGGGAAGAGAAGGATGTAGTGGAGGAGTTGAAGAGGAGGAAAAGGATGGAGAAAAAGGACGATTTTATTAAAAAAATAACGCGCTAAACATTAAAGAAAATGATAAATTGGATAACTACAACCTAATCTAACAAGAGATGGTAAGCCAAAAATAGTGAACCAAAGATGCTGAACCAAAGATGCTGAACCAAAGATGGTTCTCTTCAAGTTTCTTGTTCTCTCCGTGCTGCAACATCACCGTATACTGACGGCCACCTTCAAGACAAGAGATATCACAAAACTGCACAACGTCCAGTGAACCTTCACTGGCCGTATATGTTCGGTCAAGCATCTGAAGTTACTGGGAAGGATTAGAGTCCCTTGAACTGCAGTCCTCGGAACGTAGGCGAGAAAGATGCATCATAATCTACACCTGGGAGATACTGGAGGGATTGGTGCCAAACCAACACACTGAAATTACTACTTGTGACAGCAAGAGAAATGGCAGACTGTGTAATGCATCAAAAATGAACAATAATAATCTATTTCTACAAGTACATGATACAACTTATACAGACCATAGTAGATGAACCACAGGAGCAGTGATCACCTCCCTTACCCCTGTGTGTAGCACCACCCCGCCCCCTGAGTGCAGCACCTCCCCGCCCCCTGGGGAAGGGAGGACGGAGATCTTAATGGAATAATTCCAGGTGTCTATTATTTACCACGTCAACTGATGTGTGGCGCGAGGCAGCTGATAGATTCCTTCTTGGCTCTATCTATTATAATGGAGCAGGTAGACAATAGGCACTAGCTGGCCCCCTGTGGTGCCACCAGCAACCACGGTGAAGGGGGAAGAGGAACACAGGGAGGGGGAGAGAGGGAGGGGATGAACAAAATAGATTACACATAATTTGTTAAGGTTTCTATCTCACCCCCTTTCTCCCCTCCCCCTTATCTTCATTTCTGCTTTCCCTTTGCTTCTCCCCATCTTATCTTCACCCCACCTTCATTCCTTCCTTTCCCTTTTTTTCTTCACTTTCCGTCTCTCCCCCTAAGAGTGTTCCCCCTCCTTCCGTGTTTCCAGGTTAGCTTAGGTAAGGTCTGTCAGGAAACAGGACAAGTGTTCCCTGACGCGGGTCAGTAACATGATGACCCGCAGCTGGAGCTTTTGGTCGTCTGACCGAGGCCTTCCATTGGTTTACCGGTTCACCCCTTTAAAAATTAGGATTAGGATTCGTTGTTCCAGTTTATCCAGACTAGCGACGGTAAAGACTTTTGCAACACGAAGTGTAAGACGAGATTAGAGTCTTCAGAGACAAGAGTCTTCAGAAACACTTCTTTAGCCTTCGTGGTGCAAGCTGGATGTGGAAAACAGCGGAGGCACATTTGATACATAGATTCAAGAGAAGGTATGATAAGGTGAAATAGTTCAGAAACCAGCTGAAGAAGCGGGGTCAGGAGCCGAGAATCTTAATTCCAGGAACACAGATTGGTGAATACAACTAGATAAACACGCGCACACACAGAGTTGTCAGGAAGTGGAACACTCTGGAGAGTGATGTAGTGGAGGCAGGATCCATACATAGCTTTAAGAAGAGATACGATAAAGCTCATGGAGCAGCGAGAGAATGGACCTAGTATCGACTACCGAAGAGGCAGGGCCAGGAGCTATGAATCAACCCCTGCAACCACAAACAGGTAAGTACACACACACACACACACACACCACACACACACACACACACACACAAACACTGTAGCCACCCCTCAACACTCAGTAGCTAACTCGGTCTGCCGGTATTTTACTTCAGAAACTCATAGCGAGGTCAGCTTTCCTTTGCACTTGTGGTGTTCAGCCTGGCTAGGTCTTACTCCGCCTGTCCACTGTCGGTAGAGGTCAGATGTTGTGCCACCTATGAACGGTCTGTAGCTGCCTGGCCTGAAGGGTCGCGAAACCAGTTTCCAGCACTTTTCGGGTAATCTGAAATGTAAGACACACACACTTCATTTCCAGTAACACCTGGATCTTCACGAAGACACCACCACCAGTGCTGTCATCAAGACAACATCTCGATCTTCGTGAGGATAACATCCAGGTCTTCGTCAAGATGAGGCGAGGATTATCTTTACACAGCCTCCCGCCCCATTGTCTTCCTGCTGACGTTACCTGTATTGTAATAACTTCAAGATCATTGTCTTCCCTCTTAAGACGTTACAAAACAACCCATTCAGTCAAGGTAAAGCACTATAAACAACGGAGATCGTCGTTGTTACTCCCCTTAAGGCAGGCTTGCCTCTGGAACAAGCTAAGCTGACAACATGGGAGTGTACTTACCCACACAACAGATTTCCATGCATTATCTGTTTGCTAAAATGCGTTAAACTGACGCCACGCATGTGTGGGCGTGGGAGGTTGGCGAGGGTTGTTGTGGGTTGGTGGTGGTGGTGGTGTTGTACTATGGTTATAATACTGGTTTATTTAATACTCACACCTCTTTCCACACTATATCCACTTCTTACAAACACGTCCTACACATTGCCATGTTCACGTCTCACCCGTTTTACACTTTCCCTTCGCCACTGGTTGGCTGGTGGGCAGGGAGGGTGGAGAGGAAAGGTGGGTGGATCAAAAGTGCTGGTTACCCCTGTCCATCCACATTTTTCCACTTATAAACTTCTGCCAGTTCCTCACCCTTCCACTCGTACTTTCGTCCCATTTCCCCACCTTTCACCCTTAACACAATCCGCCATTAACACCCTCTCTTC